ACTCTTTCAAAAAGATCCACTTTATTACCGTACGTGCGGCGTCGTGTTTACTCAGATCTTGCTTTGCGGGAAAGCTTCCCTCTTTCGCGTCGAATGTTTTCTGCGACTCCCCCCCTTCCCCCCCCCCTCTCTCTATCTATCTATCTACATCTGTCTATATTTCTTTCAAAAGAATTATCTATCAAAGGTATCTGATTTATACGTATTTGAACTAAAGAATTTCAAGAATTGTTTAATAAAATTTGATTGTTTCCATTAACAAAATCATTTTATTTAACAAAATATGGATTGAAATTACAATTAGAACAAAATTATGTAAATAAATGAATTTATGTATCTTTTCGCTGTGGTATTTCCACATATAGAGCATATGTAACACATTGCATCAAACAGTTGGAAGAATCGTTTGTTATTAATTTGAGAATATTATCTGATATAACAGAAAATATACATTTCAGATTGTTAGGAATGAGATTACGAACGGTAGTGTAGGAGAGATATTTTTAATCCTTCAATTATATTAAAAGTGCTATTATATATAGGAGGAAGCGATTAACTTCTAATTTGAGCATGTATAATATTTTTATATCTTAACTTTTTATGAGATAAAAAATATATTTAGACTCGCAAGTTATAGAAACCTGTATGAATGTAAGTTACGCGGTGGTTATCGGGATTGCATTACGAGAGAGACAAAGAACGAGAGATGGCGAATGGAGTACCGGTTGTATTCGCGAGCACGAGGAAGAAATACGATAATATCGAAAACGTAGTTTGCTCCTTCGGTACATACCCAAAATCCTTTTAGCTAATTTAATCGGACCTAATTCCATTACATAGCCGGCAGCAACCCTTAAGCCCGGTCGTTCCCATTGTTTCATTCCGTTAATTTCGCTTCTTTTTTTTTTTTTACTTTACTCTCGGTCTCGCGCACAAAGGGAAACCCATCGACTGAACGAGCGTGCTCATGCACACGCGCACACACGGCTGTCCGCGTGCAGAATTGCATGTGCCCGCTCGTACGATCCGGGTAATCATGTGCAATCTATCGGAAATGTTAAAAATCATTTTTTCTACATCACCGCTCTTTGTCCTCGTCTCTTTCTCTTTCTCTCTCTCATCCCCGGCGCTGTTTTGCCTTTATTTACGTAACTTTCTCTCTCGTTCTCACGCGTGCGCGCTCATTCTCTGTCGATCGAATCGTTGGCTCTCTCGCTCGGCGTATCGCCTGGCATCGACGAATTTGTCCAATCGACCGCAATCACGTATCCAACCGGTGCATTATAATGGTGATGTTATAAATGGACCGCCCGACAAGTAAAAGCTTGCAATGCGAAAACCGCATCTCTGGTTAATATCCGGCATGTCGCTATTTTCAAATTGGGACGAGATCTATTTTCTTTTTCATTTTTGTTTTGCTCTTTATATGGAAATGCCATGTGTGTGTATATAAAGTATAAAGTACGTATGTATGTACGAAGAATTATATATATATAATGATAATTAATTTTGGTAGATTTTCTATCATTAGAATTTTTATGTCTGTATAAGACTAATACTGGGTTATATTAGACATTGAAAGTTATAAAACTCCATGAGGTAAAGGACAATTAAATTAAATATTCACCAAACAGAAATAAGGGAATAGAAAAATTTCAAGGTTGATAGCATGGTTATCTCACGAATTGTTAATATTTTAATTCGATTTTCACGCAAAGTTCCGCGCTTGCTGCAATTTTTAACGATACTCGGAATTAGTTAAAATGTCAAGTGCTTTACCAAGGTTTCCGTATAACTTAATACACGCGAAGTGTCGATTCATACATTACACACGCTGCAATTGAACGTGCATGCATGCGTGCGAGCTGCTGCGCGCACACGTTCGATGCACGTGCTCTCGCACGTGTATATGCGATAGATATGCGCATATGCGGTTTTTGCGCGCGTCGGTCGAATGAGAAGACGTGGTAAAAAGACAGATTAATTAGAAATTCAGAGATTCGTTTTACGCCGCCTTATTTCGACTTACAATTAGACGATGAGAACGACCTTCGAAGGGTACGAGGAGCTCGCGGCGACAGCGACGAGGTCGAAACGTCTGTGTGAGATATTGATTCGGCCGGCCCTCTTTCCTGCGGTAGTCACGTGAAAGAAGAAGTGGACGAAGCCGCATTCGTGCACGTACATATCGATTCGACCGGCAGAATGAGAGAGAGAGAGAGAGAAAGAGAGAGAAGAGATGGAGAAAAGAAGAGAAATAAATGAGAGAGAAAGAGACAGAGGCTCTCGAGCACGCGAGTCACGAGAGAAAGAGAAATATCTGAACGTTAGTCGTGCCTGCCTGCTCAGCTCTGCGTAATAATTATTGATAAAGCCGCGAGCCACTAGTTTTTCCCGATCCAAATTTCACGTCGGCGCCACGACGGTATCGCCGACGATTCATTCCATATCAACAACATGCGCGATCTGATCCAGCAGAGACACATTTATCTAAACGATACATTTTCTTCGGCAAAGCGATTTTTGCCGGAAGTAATTTAATGCTACGACGTTTAGGTTAAATGTATAGTTCTATATATATCATATTTAGCTAACGTTTACAAATTCACATACGTAATTCTTTAAAATATATGACATATATATTTATATGGTAACGTTATATGGTAACATGTAATGTAACATTATTTATATAGGCATTTAAATTTATTTCCCAAATAATCGGAGTAGTCTGATTTTTAAAAACAATATTATCCTATAAATTTTGAGCAGAATGTAGATTTTTTACCTGTGACTTTTCATATGCAATAAAAATGTGTGAAATAATTATAAAAAATATGGTAATGTAAGAGAACTGAATAAACTGATTTGCATTTAATAGCATACTAAAATTATGAATATAAAATTAAAATTAATAAAGGCTGTCAGTAAATGAAAGTTGACATATTTCAGACGTCATACACATATATATTTAAAGCAACGAGCGACGAACAAAATAGATCCAATAGATTCATAAAACTAAAAAGAGTCTGTTTACTTGGATAAAGGTTAAAGCTGAATTGACACATTTCTTTTATGGCTACATCAATTTATCACATGTATTTCACATATAAGCTTATTCGTAACATTTTTATTTCAAACCTGCTTTTTAATTCTAAAACATATTCTATTGATTTTAACAACTGTTGAGTGAAATTTATCGGATTATCGGAACGCGCTTGTTCGTCTATCTGGTCTATCAGAACGTACGTTGAGATTGTTATCGAATAGACAAAAGTTTTTAATATCCAGAAGAACAGCAATGTTGTTGGAATCATGTAAAAAATATTATATTCATTTTCTAACCGTAGATACGAGCTTGTATTCTTCTCTATAATATTTCACGTTATTGTTCCGTGATAAATATTTTTGATATTTCATGTATTCGTGGTTTTTTCGACGTAAGCGTTCGTTCAATTTTCATTTTTTAAAAATAATAAGCAAAGAATGCTTCTTATCGTAACTCTCTCCTGTAAAACTTTTTCTGAAGAAATCTTGATGCTAGGATCTGTCTAATTAAAATTAAGATAGAACGTTATAACATTAATGTTAATACGATTCCTAAGCTTAATAATTAATCTCTGATATTCTCAAAGGATCTCAAAGAGATTCCTGATATTCGTGCGTGAATTATGAGTGAAGAAATATGGCATATATTAATATGCCATGCGATTTGGTTTTCTACTTTGCTTAATTTACGAGTATGTGACGTTTTAAGCACATGACAATTATCGCATTTGACACTCGGTGATGGCGAGACCTCGCGGAGCGCGCCTCCGCGTCGCGTTATTTCAGCGGTTCTCGGCGAACTCGCGGAATCCCTCGGTGAAAACAAAACGATCGCGCTCGAAACGTTTTTCTTTGCCGGCGCGGCGCAGCCGTACGTGGCAGTGTGTGCGCGCCGGACGCGCACACATACGTCGCCATAACTCGCGCCAGGTAACATGAGAAACGGCGACTCGAGCCCGCTTTTCGTAAGCGGCTTACTTGCGCGACGGAAAATTGTACTACAGTCCTGGCCCGCGCGCGTGCCTTTTTCTTCGCCTTAACTGTCTCTAACGTCGTCGCACATAAAATACACGACCGTCCCCGGGTCTCCTTTCACCCCCGGAACGCTCCGCGCCCCGGATGTTTATGCTGCACGTAAGCAAACACAGTTTTTCTCCGGCTAATGTACGCAGGAGATCGCGAAGAGTTATGGCACGTTGTGAGTTTTCCTAGCTAGAATTATTAAATTATACGGCGTTTCTCACTCGTGATGTGCGCGACCGCTATTCACTTAATTCACTCGCAATCAGTCGATTAGGGTTACCTATAACTTGCTTCGATAGCATTCACGGTACTGGATATTTTTACTGTCTACAGTTCATTGCCAGTTGAACTAGCCACCTGTTCATATTTGAATTATCTAATTCTTTTATATTATAAATTACGATACATTTGTAAAGATGTGTAGAGATTTAAACATTCTTGTCAAACTCTTGGCAAACGTCGATGCTACGGATCTAATATCTCGTTTACGACAGAGTCGCGGATCTCGCAAAATCGCAGGTTGCAAAGTATGCTTCGAGTTCTATATTCAGATCCGACAGATTCTTGGGCGTGCGTCTCGCGTTTCATCTGCGTACCGAGAGATGGGGGAGGGGGAGGGGAGAGGGACAAGAGCATTATCCGTCAATATTTTCCGTGGGTTTCAGTCGCGACGTGTCCGCAATCCCGACATTGATAACGTCTGTCGTTTGTGCTCGAGCGTGCTTGTGCGTTGCGTAGTCCTGCGCTTTTCCGACTCCATCTGTCTGTCTGTTCGCGGCTTGCGCTTAACCCCCTGCCCCCGCCCGTCGCCCGCCCCCTCTCCCTCACGCGCCGCTCATCCCCGACCGCCCGAAAGCCCGAAACAGAAAGCATTTTAAGCCTTTGCATCCGCAGTAACGCGAGTTTTCGCTTTTGGTATGTTTCCAGAACAGCAGGAGCCGGAGTTCGACCGCGCGGGAGGAGTCAGCAGTGCGCCGAATAAATGACGTAAATCCGAGGAACGGAAGCGCAACGTCACTCGCTAACTCGCAATCCTCTCCTTCCCCCCCCTGGTCCCCCCTGCCCTGCCCTACCCCCTGGGAACCTCCCCTCCCTCTCTCTCTGTCTCGCCGTTTCCGCGTCCCCCCTCCTGTCACCCTTGGAACCCACCCTCTTTCCCCGTTCGGGTCCAACCCCGACACGACCCGAAGAACCTCAGGCGCGACCCCGGCCGCCGGACCTTTGCCCTCTCTTGTCGCCTGTACGCCCGCTTTGTCGCCCGCCGTCTTCACGTGCTTACAACACTACCCTCTTACCGCTCCTACTCGTCGTCGTCTCCGTTACCACTCTCTCCGCACGCTTCTTCGGCGTCCGTATCCGTCGCCTCCTCCCCCGGCGTCCTGTCCACGGAATTTCGAAATAACCGACTCGCGCGTCGCCGTTCCTCCCGGTCCCGGCAGGACGGCGCGTAAGGGTTTCCTCCACCTTTCCACGCACGGAGCGGCCCTTCTTTCTCCCCCCTCCATCTTCTCCCGCTTCATCGGCAGCCCGCCGTGGTGAACGAACACAGTCCTGCACCAGCTCCTCCAGCTCTATACGACCACCACGACCGTCTCACCCTACTCCTTCCAGTAGACTCGCCGTCGCGAGACACACGCGCTGGGTTTGAAACCGGCTTGAAGGACGCCACGACCGGCTTTTCGAGACACGCATACGTAGACGAATACGTACATACCCACACACGTGCGATCCAGTACACCCTCAGCGGCGACCAACTGCCTGTGTGTGCATAAAGGAAGGGAGATACTCGTGCAAAAGCGTCTAGAGAGCACGTACTTCTTGGTCGACGTTTAGCTTCGAAGGCTTTCAAGCTTTGCTCGACTACTACTATTACTACTGCTACTACCACCACCATCACCACCATCACCACTACTACTACGCTCGGGCTACGGCTTCTCAAGTGTGGCGCGCTGCAAGATCAAGGGAGGACAGAGGAAATAGAGTGAATGAGGAGTCGATAGACGAGATCGACGACCTACGACGCCGCCTTATCACGAAGCCAAGAGTAGCGCCTGATCCCGCCTAAAATCGACCGGTGCCTAATCGCTGTCGATATATACAGCTTCACCTTTTTCGCTTCTTCTCTTTTCCCGGTGAGATATCTCTCCATCCTCCCTCGCCTGTATACACTTAGCTTTCACACCCTCCCGGAGATTATCGTGCGGCAAGCGCGTGCGCCATCGCCACCATCAAAACACGGCCTACGAAAGAGGGAGAGAGAGTAAAGAATTTCGCAAAATCGCGAATCATCGACAACGCCTAAGCCGGCAGCCGCCGCGCTCCTTCGGTTAATCCTCGTCGGGATCCGATATCAGGCGAGAGAGAGAGAGAAAGAAACGGCGATAAGCCACGCTCGAAACAGCCGACGTTGCTGATAAACGCGTGAGTCTTCGCGTGACGATTCGACATATCGCGCGACGACCACGACGACGCGAGCCAAGCGCGACTTCGAGGTGAGGAAGAACGAAGTTTCGCGAGACGCGGTGATTTTCCACGCGGAAGATCTACACGCAGGAAGACAGCTGCGGGTCATCGTGTACATGGGACATTAAGATCATCGCATCGCGCTTAAACGGGAGATCTTCTGCCGTAAGGTATACAAGTCTCAAGTAGTTGCATGACTCCGAGGCACACGCGGGATTTCGCGTACAGTGTGTGCGAGTGAAGAAGGTGAGAGAGGGAGAGGGAGAGTGGGAGAGGAAGGGAGAGAGGAAGGGGTGAGTGAGCGAGTGTACGTGAGCGAGTGGTGAGAGAGGCTGTGTGACGAGACGAGGCGAAAGTGGTGGAACGAAAGGGTTCAGTACCGGACGCCGCGAAATCCCGTGAACAAGTGCCGACGAGTTCGTGTCGCGAGGTGGTCGTTACTCCATAAAACCGAAACGTCTATATCCTTGGCTAAGATCAGTCGACGCGAGTGCACGCGACCGAAAAGGAGCCGATCATCACGAGGAAGAGTTTAGAACGGCAGAGAGAGAGGAAAAAAAAAGAGGAGAGTTCGGATTACTACTCTCTCACGGTAGAGGCCAACGGACGGGGTCTCTCGGTCTTCCAAGAGTGGAAGAATGGCAATGGTCAGCATGAATAACCTACTGAACGGCAAGGACTCGCGTTGGCTGCAGCTGGAGGTTTGCAGGGAGTTCCAGCGCAACAAGTGCACCAGGCCCGACACGGAGTGCAAGTTCGCCCATCCGCCGGCTAACGTCGAGGTGCAGAATGGACGGGTGACCGCCTGCTACGACAGTATCAAGGTAACGAACCGTTGCATAATCGAGTTTTCGTACTCGCGCGTAACGAGCGCGTTCGCGCGGAGCGGAATCGTCGGTCCCCCGCGCACGGCCGATAAACTCCGCCTTCACTTATCTGACACCTTCGGTAAACCCGACGAGAGAATTATCTCTGTTATCCCGATGAAGTGTGAAACTCTATCGCTATCGTAATGTATTCGCATCGATGCGCGTAGAACGGGGGGCTCTATTGCTGCCAGAGCTACCATTACAGTTGATCCCGATTCTGTTAGATAAGTGAAGTTATAATGTAATTGAAAATATTATTTATCTTGCCTTTATTTATGAGCTAATTAGAAGCTTTGCTATTTTCGACGAAGAAATATCGGCGATCGCGTCGGTGATGAATTCAATTAATAGACAGGATTATCCGTATCGTCGTTATTATAATCTCGAGGAAAACGGTTTCTGATTCCGTTCGATAAAATGTCGTGCAACTTTGATCTCTTTGCATGCTATTGAAATAATATTGTAAGATGGAAGACGAGATTATACGTCGGATTTATTTCGCGCCAGAGCGGAGGGAAGTTTTTGAAATTGATGTTTAAGAAGATTATCCGGCAAGCAATTGCGAATCTACGGATATTGAGGCTCGTGCTTGTAGATCATTCTCTTCGGCATCGAATGCATTCTGAAGACCTCTTTCCATCCCGCTACAATCGATCCAAATGAATACGTGTGTACGTCGTGAGATCGTCGATCGATCTTTCCTGCCTGCGCTTTCCGACTGCTGATCTCCCCGATACAAAGCCGATAATTTGCAACGCCACGCGGTCGAGATAAGGAACCGGTTGTAATTTACGATGGGTAATAAGTCTCTTATCGTCGATCGGGCGCGCTATCGGCCCTCAGGGGGGGGGGGAGGAAAGGGGGAGACGCCGGTTTATGGATTTTAGAATATACCGTCTCTCCGTACGCGTTCCCGAGGCAAGGCGCGATTAAACGAACGCGAGAAAGAGGGAGAGAACAGAGCGTTGCACGAGGGCGCGGCCCGCCGTCTTTCGAGCGCGCGTCTCGGAGTAGATATTGAACCGGAGAATTGAATTCACAGTTATTAATAGCGACAATTATTCAACGCGCGGGGAGCGAGAGTACCAATCGACATCGTCAATAAATCAGATGGGGACTCGGGGAGGGGAATGAGCATTATGTAAAAATTGAAGGAGACTCTCGGGGCCCGACGTCCGTCCGCGCCGCGGCGTCGATGGTGCCGCATTGTCTGATGGCACCTATACACGCACGCTCGCGATTAGATAAAGCGTGGAGGTGCGCGTGTACGTGTACACACATATATGTGTGACACGCGTGGGGTGCGGCAGTCGCGTAATTGCGAATACATATACCCGTGTAACATTGATATACTCTTCCGCAATAAACTTCGTCTTTATCTTCTTTTATAGTACTAGCCTCGGTGTGTGTTAGTCTTGAATTATACGTGAAAGCGAAGATTGGAATAGTGCTTTTTGCTCGTTGTCACCCATTACATATTTTTGGAATTGCATTGCAGATTTCATGACTGATGAATGACGCTTTCACCGAAGCTAGTATTATCGTCGCCGCGGTGTGTTAAAACTTTACTTCGATAAAAAGTTTAATGCGAAAATTTGCATTAAATATTTTACATTGCCGGAAAAGTTGCGCGTGAAATGAACCTCTATATATTTTATGGCGGTTCCAAAAACCCGTTTTAAAATCATAAAAAACATTGGGAATTGCTCATTTAAATACGATATTAATTTTGAAATATTTATAAAAATTTTTTCTTAAAATCACTATAATGTATTGCCTAAAAAATAATAGTCGATTGAAAGTTGTCAAGTTAGCCTCCATTATTTAAAAAATTAATTTTTTAAATAAATCGATTACCTAAGACATAACAATCGAGATTTATAATTGTAAATTCTTTGAACGGCGTTTTTGGCCCTTCTTAGCTACTATTAGACGATTATTTGTGTTGATATTTCTATGTTCTATTAATTATTTGGAGTAATCTCTCAATAATTCTTATTAAGAAAATCCGATTAAATTCTCTTAAGGAGAAAAGGTCTATTTTTAGAACCACAATTGGATTTTCATTTATTGCTGCGAGATGTCTGCTCCAAATCTGTCAAATAATCTATTATTATATGTATTAATAGCACGTGGTAAGATCGTTCTTGCAACTATGATTGCTAATTTTCTCCTTACGCGCGTTATCGCTCGCCGTTTTTAGACTCGGTCACGAATACACGCACGCATACGTCGAAATGCGCGATTAGATAGCGAGTGGCAAAAAGATAACGTCCACACGGAGGGAGCGGCTTGCCGCCATACTGTCCGAATATTCTCGAGGCGCGTTCACGGTCGATTCGTTTTCAGATAGAGAAACACACATGTGCATACAACGTACGTGTAGGTACACTCCGTGCGCAATCGTGTGCGCGTGTCGCGAGCAAGCAGGGCCGAGCCACATTTAATTCTGGAGAAGCTATTAATGTCGCGGATAGTGCCTGAAAGGCCGCGTTGTCCGTCGAACTTTGGTCGTTTCTTTGCCTTCTCCGTTCCTCGCACGTTCTTCCTCAATAATGGCGCTCGTTACGTTTAATCGCTCCGAATGAATGGAGCGACGGGCGCGCAAGTATGCGTCATAGCGTTTATACAAAGGTGGTGCCAGAAGAGGTGCCAGCAGTCAGCGATACCTACACGTTCTCACGCGAATCCGAAACCGTACTGCTTTAGCAAAAATTCAAGCGATTATCATTTTATTCGACATCACAGATCCGAGTTAAATTCAGAGCAACTGATTTTTGCGTATTTTAAATGTTCGTTAAAGATTGAATGTTAAATGACGGTTAAATGTAACATCTCTCTCTCGAATCCTGTTTAAGCTTCAACTACATGAAATTAACCGAGAAATGAGATTTCGATAATTTTCCTGCTGCGCGCAAATTTAACTCATCTCAGCATGTCTATTTAATCTTGACGTTTAGATTGTAGAAAAAAAATCTCGTATTTTTGACGGAAGATACCTTTTGCACGATAGTTCACACATGCGCGAAAGGATTAAAGTATTGTACGGAAAGATGCGCGCGCGCGCGCGAGTAATATTAAGGATTCGAATCCGAGACGTTGTTAAGTTTCCGCGGTATATGAGAGAAAGCCAAGCCACTCTCGGGAGCGCCGATATTACCCCGAAGAAATATTAGCAATAAACCATTGCATTACGTACACCGGACCTCGACTGCCTCGCCGTGGTTCCCAAAGTCTCCCACGGAGTCCGTCTTGTTTTTTGCGCCGTTTAGGTGCCAGAAACGCCGCTCTCTTCGCATTTCGCCGATGAAATAAAGGCTCATTTTTCGACTGGGAAATAAAGGAGAGTGGCTATCGCCGTTTCCGACGTCTTATCGCTCCTCCCTCGGCGCGGATGGGTATCTCTCTGGGCAAAAGCTAGATTAATTTCACGGGTTGGACGGAGAGCACGGGCATAAAGTTCGGTCTGGCCGTGCCAAGCGAGTCGTCCGGCGCGCTTTGCATCGATTTCGCAACACGCCGCGTGCTTGGCTTTTATTCCTGCAGCAGGCTCTTTCTCGTTCTACCGGTATGCTCCCGATAAGAGAGGATCTATTGTCATGTTAACTGCAAGAATTACGCGCTGCGAAATGAAGGAGGATTGTAGCAGTGCCCCTTCTTCTCCCCCCCCCCCTCTCTTTCTCATCCCTTCTCCTTCCGTAACTTTGCATCGCACAAGAAGCCACTAATGACTATAAATGTGATCCGTAAGCGTTTCCATGTTTCAACGTCATGGCGAGATGACTGCCGCTTGTTGATTATCTTCTCGAATGCTAGATGATTTAAAACTTCATCTTTCTCTTAAGTTAGAGCTGCGGATGTTATCCTATTTCGTTTCATTGATTCTAAAAAGTAGCAAAATATCGTAGATATTTTGAAATTTTTCGCAGAGAATGTGAAAACATTAGAAATAATTTATTTGAAACGAACAATAATTTATAAATTATTAAATAGTAACAGAAATAATTTACTCGTGAATTATTATTATACACTGAAGCTATGTACGTCGTTTTTATTCTCACAAAATATAATCGTACAGATGCGTAGTCAAATAGAATGAAAAATACTTAAAAAAAAGAACAGGTTACATTTTAGCTGACAATGTAACTGCTTCTGTACACAATACACTATTACGGGCATTCAATTTTTGGAGTAACATGACGTAATTTTTGTTCTAAACTAGATGGTTACGAAATACAATTCAACCTTTATGCGGGATTACTCGATACAACGCGTCCGTGTCGGCCCTTCTCTCCCCTCCGTTACACACAAACAGAGTTCAAATGTATTTATTGTGTTACGTCGAACTGCCGCGAAGCGTAATGTTTTGTTCTCGTTCGTTAAAAACGCGTAGTAGGGAACGATAAAAAAAAGCGTGACGAACTTTTTTTTTATTGATTTGTAATTGATACCGCGTCTAATTTCGCGCCGCAGTGAATATAGATTCTTTTATTTTACTCCTCGCACTTCCATTTATCTGACTTCGGCAAACTGATGGAAATTACTTGCACTCTCTTAAGAAAATGTTAAATGGTTCTTTCCTTTTCATAACTAATGGCCAATGTCTAATGATCGGAGTTTCTCATCCGTTTATATGGAACGATTGAAATTAATTTTAACGTCAGATTTCTCGATATTAATTAAATTAAAAATTAATATATGTTTTGACGATTCTTATCACTCATTTTTTAATATTTAACAATAATATCGTGGTATAATAAATATCTTGGTAAACAAATTCGAATTTTTGAAAAAATAAAATTTGCTCGAATTTACGAATGTATAATAATAATAAATTTTTAAGTGTAAGGAGGCGTGAAACATATTCATTAAAAACTCTTTACTTTCAGTATATAAATCCAAAACCATTCATGCCTCGACCTCAGTGGAGAGAAATTCGATCTCTCAAGTGGATC